AAATAGCAGAGCAAAATTGGGAATTAATAAAAGATGTACCTAATGTTTCTGTAGATTTTCAAAAGGCGTATGATAGTGTTCAAAGAAACAGTTTATGGAATGCTATAAAGGACTTTGGAATACCCAAAAAAAAAAAAAAAAAAAAATTAGCATGACCAAACTATGCATGGAAGACACTAGTAATATAGCAATATATAAAGGCAGAAAGTCAGACCCTTTTCAAATAACATCTAGTTTAAAGCAAGACGTTGCTCTGTCCCCACTTCTTTTCAACTTGGCCCTGGAGAAAATTATAAGGCAATTGAAACAAGAGTGTGCTATATGAGAAACTACAAGAATACTTGGCTATGCTGATGACATTGATATCGTTGGAGAAAATGAACTAGAGACTGTTAAAACACTGAATGTCTTAAAAGAATTAGCTCAGAAAATGGGACTAGTTATCAATTAAGATAAGACAGGAGACATGATAATAACTAGACAGGGAAAGGCTATAAACTCCGGCCACATTCAAGTCGATAATATGAAAATCAAACGAACGGACACATATTAGTACTTGGGTGCAAACTTAAACTGCTCTAACAAGCTGAGAGAAGAAATACAATCTGGAAAAAAAGTATACTATGCCCTTCAACATCTGCTAAAGTCAAAGTGTCTGTCTCTCAACACCAAGATCAAAATATATCAAACGTTTATAAGACCAGTCGTTTTAAATGGCTGTGAAACTTGGAGCACAACTAAAAGAGAAGAGGCGTAATTACAGATTTTCGAAAACAGTCTTACGACGAATCTTTGGACCCATCAAAGATGCAAACAACGGTGAATGGAGAGTGAGAAGCAACAACGAAATTCATAATATGTTTAAATCACCGCTGATCACTGGCATCAGGAGAGCTAAGGACTTAAATGGTTGGGGCATAATGAAAGAATATCGGAGGACAGAGAATTAAAAACTGTATACACCAGGGAGATGAATGGTCGTAGACTACAAGGCAGACCAAGAAGACTATGGACAGATAATATCCAGACAGACCTGCAAACACTTGGTGTCACCAACTGGAAAGAGAGGGCCAACCAGAAAGATGAATGGAGGCGGGTGATATCTGCAGCAATGAACCAGAAAGCTGAAGAAGATGAATATATATATATATATATATATATATATATATATATATATATATATATATATATATATATATATATATATATATATATATATATATAAATACACACAGACATGTAGAAGGACATACATACAGGCAAACAGACAGGATACATATAAAGGCAGGCAGACATGATATGTATACTGACAGACTAATAGGATACTCATACAGGCAAACAAGATATACACACAGGCAGGCAGACGAGATGTACACACAGGCAGACAGGATATACATACAGGCAGACAGAAAGGATATACCTAGAGGCAGACAGGATATACACAGAGGCAGACATGATATACTTACAGGCAGACAGGATATACATAAAGGCAAACAAACACGATATATGTAAAGGCAGACAGACTGGATATACATACAGACATGCAGAAAACAGGCAGACATACAAACATACAGACACACAGACAAGATATATACATAGACATTCAGACAAGACACACAAACAGGCAGACAGACAGGATACTTAGAAGGCAGACAGACATGACACACACACAAAGGATATACATACTGGCAAACAGGATAAACACACGTGTAGACATACAGGACATACATACAAGCAGGCAGACGAGCGCGTCAACAGACGGAGGGACTACCAACAGCCTAACAAAGAGTAACACAGAGATAGACATGCAGTAATGCAAGTGCTCCCTCGAAGAAACATTCAGCATCACAGACTTTCAGATAAACCAGTAGTCAGGCAGACAAATAGACATACATCAAAACAGAAACAAACAAAGTGTATGTATGTACGTACTCTGCAGACGTACGTACGTATGTATTTATGTATGTATGTATTATGTATGTGTGTTTGCACCAATGAACGTATGTAATTATGTATGTATATATGCAGATACTACTACGCTATGTGTCTATACTTGTATGTACAAACAAGGGCAGACCACTCACAAATATAATAGATCCTTGATTGAGAGTTGTCTATCTTCCTGGTTGCCATGCCTACAGAGTAGCGCTACTGAAATCACATAGCCTGCCTCCGGAGACATCTTCTTCAAGTTATCTATTACTTCGTTTCTCCCAATCCATTCATCTGTCCACGGGGGATTACCTCTGTAGATAACTCTTGGTGTCTGCAGTCTGATAGCCTCACTAGAGTTTCGGCCCTTGTCTGGGTTAGTTAAAGGTGAAATCTACCCAGTTTGATTAAGTTACAGGATTTTCTAGAATGGTCTTTTTTTTCCGAAAGCATTTAGGATGTTGTAGGTTTCAAGGAAAGGTCGCTTATTAAGACAGTGGGTTGTGTTCCAATCCTATCGGCGGTATGAGAACTGTTCCCCTCAACATATACAGCTCGAAATCATTCGATCCTTATAAAATCATTATCCTGCGGAGCCATGTCGATAAGGAATGTGCGTTTATGGTTGTCAGTCTTAGATTATCATCACAATCTCACATCGGTCTGTATGCGAGTCTTGATGCTGCAACATTGCCAAGCAATGCACACAATTATTTCTTTGTCTTCGTCTCCATCTTTCCAATCAGATTCGTCTGTTGCCATTGAATTTTCAAGGTTGTGTCATAAAAAACAGTGTTTGCCACCCCCCCCCCCCCCAAAAAAAAAAAAAAAAAAACACATAAAAATACAGGATCTATCTTCACCTCAGGTCACTTCCTAACCGGCAGGGTAACAATACAGCTTTAAGGTTGAAAGGGGTTGAACGGGGTTGGTATATGTAGGATCTTCCTCCTTGTGAATAATTCTGCGGACTGCAACCATTGAGGCGACAAAAAAAAAACAAAAAAAAAAAGCAAGAGCTAGCTCTAAAGTAAACTCTATATTATTTCTCAAAACACTCGTCATCAAAAGCCTTCGCCAAACATAAACCCGTCTTCAATTGTGCTTCAATTGAAACACGCTTCGTTATTTTTTCTTATAGTTCTCGCTGTATGGCGTTGGTAGTCATGCCAATCCACAGCCTTCTGTCTCGTGTACTTTCAGTCAGTTCTGACACTGATGATCTCCCACGCCATAACTGTCCAACACCTTCTCTCTCTGTATGTATGTGGTGTGTGTATGTGTATGTATGTGTGTGTGTGTGTGTGAGAGAGAGAGAGAGAGAGAGAGAGAGAGAGAGAGAGAGAGAGAGAGAGAGAGCTGTGGCGCATGGCTTTTGTTTCAGCGGATGAGAGAAAAGTGACAGACGGCAGACAGATACAAGACAAAGTAATAAGAAAAACACAGACACAAAACACAGCACAGAGAGATAGACATACACACAAGCAGGTACACAGATACAACACACACATATACACACAACATACACCCATACATAAAGACAAAACACACAGACAGGTACATACACAAACAGAGAGAGAGAGAGAGAATGAGTGAACGAGTGAGGTAGAGAGAGATATAGAGAGGGAGAGAAAGAGAGAGGGAGAGAAAGAGAGAGAGGGGGAGGGGGGGGAGAGAGAGAGAGATTGAGAGAAAACTGCCCGTCTGGCTTTTATTCAAGGGTATGACAGAACAATGGCAGACGTCAGACAGACTCAAGACAAAGTAATGACATCAAGACTGGACAAGGCCGGAAGTCACGTGTTGCTGAAGACACCACTTTTAGTGGGGAACACACGTTAGGATTGAAGATGTGTGGGAGAGTGTGGGAGACGGGGTGAGAGGAGCTAGGGTAAGGGGTTGGGCTAGGGGCTGGGTATGGTATAATTATTGCTGCTGTTTCTTAAAAGGGATGAACAGACCTCAAAGAGATAGACACTGGATGGATAGAAGGACCAGAGGGTAGATGGGTTGATGGGTGGAGGGATGGATAAATAGATGGATAGATAGATGGATAGATAGATGGATACATGAGTCAAGGAAAGAAACGAATGAACAAACCTTATTTTTCTAAGGATTAAGAATTGTGCACACAGGCTAGTCTTATATTATGCCTTTTTTGGGCTCACTCAATGAAAGATAGGTAGATAGATGGAGGGAAGAAATGATGCATGGGCGGATAGTTGGGTGGATAAATGGATGGATGAGTGGAAGGATGATAAGAAAGATAGATCGATGAAAGTCTAGTTTAGAAGGTAGGGACTAGTGGATAGATAGAACGATGAGTGGATGGATAGGTGGATGAGTGTATGGATGGGTGGATGAGTTGATAAAAGGGGTGGAGGAGGAAACGGAAAAGAAATTGACGGAGTCAAGTATGGATGGATAAATGGGGAGAAAGATGGATGAATGGATGGGTAATTGAATGGATAGATGGGTTGATAGATGGATAGATGGGTCGATGGATGGATGAGTGGAGGAATTCGTTGAGGGATAGATAGATGTGTGAATAGATGAATGGACAGATGGATGGATGGGTGAGTCGAGTGATTAGCTCTTGTAATGATGGGTGGGTAAAAAGATAGATAAATTGATGGATGGATGGATGGGTAAAGGTCGATGAATAAATGGATAAATGAACGGATGAATGAATGGATGGATGAAAGAATAAATGGTGGAATTAGTTCAGGGATGAATAGGTAAGTGGATGGATGGATGGATGAGTCGATGATTAAATTGATGGATAGAAGGGCGGAGACATACATACACACAAACACACTAAATACACACAAAGATACTGAGAGAAATGGGAAAATATAGACAGACAAAATACACACATATACACAAAGAGAAGTGAGAGGAAGAGAAAAACAAGATAGAGACAGACAGACATGAAAAACTCACACATACACACACACACACAGACACACACACACAGAGAGAGAGAGAGAGAGAGAGAGGGGGGGGGGAATGCGAGTAAGAAGAAAAACTGAAGATAGAGACAGACAGACAGACGTAGATTGTCCTACCTCCATCAGTAGAAGAGTTAGCAAGGCCATGACACTCATCCTCGCTGCCGCCTCGGCCACTGTCACTGGTTCCTGTATCTCCCGAGGACGCGTCGCTGTATCTATCGTCTGCATGCCTGACCTCCATAAACTGATGCTCATCCTGGAAGTAAAGGTAACATTGTGTAACCATCGATCAGGAAGAGGAACAACATCGACATTCTGAACGAGTTGAACATCAAGGAGAACTGCCTCATAAACAGCATCCTGTCCCGAAAGTTAGAGTATTTTGGCCCCATCAAGCGTCACGGTGGCTTGGAAAAACAGTGATAGAAGGTACAGTTTGTGGAAGGCGAGGCAGGGGTCGACCACCGCGAAGATGGATACAAGACACTGAAGATGCATTGGCATTCAAAGCACATGGGGCCAGAGAGCTGGCTAGAGAAAGGGATACTTTCCGGCGCGCCGTGAAGAGAGCGACGTTCTGTAAAGGACTTGCTGATTGATGGTTGTGTAACGTTGGTGATTCTTGTGTAAAAGAAGACTGACGTAACAAAAGACTGAAACCATGGTGCTACGAAAGTGGGTCTACAGTGATGCGATACTGCATTGACAATGGGGCTTTAAATTAAAACCGTACAAAAGAAATAGAAATTGCAGTAACCAAGCTCTTGTCTTGTAAACTGTCAAAACTGTTGTTACGGATGTCAAGCGTGCTAAACAAGTGACATCAGGGAAGATACGAAAACATTTGCGTCATAATGACAGTCTAAAGATGGCCGCCTCACTTTGGACATGCACTAAAGAGAAGCAGTGGTTTGTTTTCGTGTTGTTTTTAAAAATCTATGAAGTGGTAAAACCTATATTATCATCATCATCAGGTGCCTTGCCGACTGGCGTGGGCGATCATGCCTCTCCATAATCTGCGATCTCCTGCAGCATGTCTCAGTTCGTGTGCCGACACACCTCCATGCCATGCAACAAGACTGTCAAGCATCTTCTCTCGTTGTCTTCCTCTATCCCTCCTTCCACAGATCTTTCCAGTGGTCACAACATGTTCTATTTTCCCTCTTCTCATAACATGGCCGAAAAATGATGACTGTCTCCTTCTGATGTCTGTGATAAGTTGTCTTCGGGCTCCCGCCTCTTTCAAAACCTCTTGGTTGCTCCTACCTGGGGTAGGAGCCTGTCCAACCACTAGGCGCGTCCACCAGGTGGCGCATGGTGGAAAGGCCTCTAGATATAGAGGTTAGCCACGAATATATTGAATAAGTGGCCGTGGACCAAAACAGGTGATGGTCATTGAGAGGAGGCGAGTAAGTTGGTGGGACAGCTAACTCTATAAAATACCTCAAAACTCTACGACATGGCCATCGGCGGGTCCGAGGCGCCATAACCTCTCCCCCCCCCCCCTGCTGCCTTGCAGGATAAGTCTCTTCAGACAAAGGCTTTTGGAGTCAAACCATACACAAACCGGCGGAAGGTAAGGGGAAACCGCCGCTGTACTATCCTTAGTTAATCATGCCTCAAAACCTATATAAATTTATATATAAATGAAGGTCCAATCTGATGCATGCCGATCAGTCCAGCAAGTGTTTCAGTGGAGTAGGAAGTTTTACAATGGGGGAGGGGGGGAAGCGGGGGGGGGGGGGGGGGGTCAGTAGGAAAACATAGAATATTGGCCAGGGAAACAACACAAGGGAATCAGTATGGTATGCTTGTGAGCGCAACAATGTTGAGAGATTCACTTGTATATCACAAACAGTTCTCACTATACTGTTAGGATAGTTGCGTATCATTTACAGGACGTTGCAGAACCAACCCCAGCAGCCCCTGGCTGTTGTGTGGGTTTTCTAGGCAAATGTACGTCCAGTAGTTTGCCATTACTTCCTGGACGGTCGGATTTCTTGATACCACTGTCGAAACCAACACAAAGCGCATGGCCCGCAGCTGGGATCGAACCCGGCATCCCGGCACTTCAAAGCGTTCGCATCGACTTAGCCACAGAGCCGATCACTATACTGAATGACTCTGAAGACTTGAAAACAACAGCTGACAAACTGAACTGTCTTCTGAAATGTGGATACACAAAAGAATAGGTTGTGTTTTCTGGAAACAAAAACAAGCAAATTCAGATTTTACGAAAAGATTGGGATTAAAAATAGAGTATTGTGGTGACGTCAACAGATACAACCCTCTAAAAAAAAAAAAAAACTAGAAGGAAACATCAAAATGTTACTTCTACTGTTGCTACTGTTACTGTCACAATCACTACCACCACAAGTACTACAACTGCTGCTGCTACTACTACCTCTACTACTAGAACTACTACTACTACTACTACCAACACTGCCCACCATCACCACCACAGAAATCACTATCATCACCAACACCGCTCCTCAATCATTTGCTGCAGACCAAAACGTTTTACCTGTAAGATAACAACAAACATATCAACTCTTAACTTTTGTTAAGAAAGTAAGAGTGAAGGACATGTTTTTTTCTTTTTCACATGGCTGGCCCATCCAAATGCAGTGCTCTGACAGAATTCGTAAGTCTCTTGAGAACTGTCTTATTCATCAAATGGACAACATACGGATGTGTGTGGGCACTATCTCGCACTAATTCTGGAAGTAAACGAGAATTTCTGAGCTGAAATATCATAGAACGATTTTCAGACTACCATTGGCCTAGAAGAAACAATCCATGAATTCCTAAAAACTTTGCATATCAAGAAAAATTGGGTAGCACTTGGGATCTGCCTTGTTGGTCTACTGTCGGGATTTGTATTGTTGGTCTACTGTCGGGATCTGCCTTGTTGGTATACTGTCGGGATCTGCCTTGTTGGTCTACCATCGGGATCTGCCTTGTTGGTCTACTGTCGGGATTTGCCTTGTTGGTCTACTGTCGGGACCTGCCTTGTTGGTCTACCGTCGGGACCTGCCTTGGTCTTCTGTCGGGATCTACCTTGTTGGTCTACTGTCGGGATCTGCCTTGTTGGTCTACTGTCGGGATCTGCCTTGTTGGTCTACTGTCGGGATCTGCCTTGTTAGTCTACTGTCGGGATCTGCCTTGTTGGTCTACTGTCGGGATCTGTCTTGTTGGTCTACTGTCGGGACCTGCCTTGTTGGTCTACCGTCGGGACCGGCCTTGTTGGTCTACCGTCGGGACCTGCCTTGTTGGTCTACCGTGGGGTTTTGAGGTCCATTGTCGAGAACGGGGAAGAATAAACAACACCCCCCCCCCCCCGCCCCTACAGAAGTATATCGATAAACATCGACTAATTAGGGACGTTGTCTTCAAACCCGGACTGCATCTGCGTGAGTGGCAAAGAACCAATAGTATGCAAACAAAAAAGCCACGTCTGTAAAACTGATATGCACACAAAACTCACCTTCTGAAACAAGACTACAGGTCTCAAGTGGACGAACTACCAGAACTTTCCTTCAGAGTTTTCAGACGGTGAACACGAAATTTTTTTCTTCTAAACCAGTATGGTATGAATATCTTTACAACAGCCGGGGAAAAAAAAAAGGGGGGGGGGGGGGTAACTGATCAATTGCGACTGCCAATCATCTGTTGCACCCAAAAGACCTACGCACTATGACAGGGGCTCTACGACTGACGTTGCAGTCTTACCTGGTGATCCGCGGTCGAGGCTGGAGGGTCGTACAAGTGTTGGCTGTAATCTGGGGTCGTTATCCCGTTGATGACAATGTAATCTTCTTGACACGTGGCCTGCAGAAGACAGACGCCGTGTGTATGTGTGTGTGTGTATATAATATATATATATATATACACACACATCTATGACATCCCATCAAAGCTCTCTCTCTCTCTCTCTCTCTCTCTCAATCTCTCTCTCTCTCTCTCTCTCTCTCTGTCACACACACATGAACACACACACACATGAGCATACAAGCACACTCACTTGAACCCCATCTTAGACATCCCATCAAAGCTCACACACTCACACACACACATACACACAAACACACACACTTGAACCATATCTTAGACATCCTATCAAAGTTCACACACACACACACACACACACACGCAAACACTCACTTGAACCCCATCTTAGTCATCCCATCAAAGCTCTCACACATACACACGTACGCTCACTTGAACCCCTTCTTAGACATCTCATCAAAGCTCTCTCTCTCTCTCTCTTTCTCTTCTCTCTCTCTCTCTCTCTCTCTCTCTCTCACACACACACACACAAACACACACACTTACTTGAACCCTATCTTAGACATCCTATCAAAGCTCTCACACACACACACGCACACTCATACACACACATACACACACACCTGAACTCCATGTAAGACATCTCATCAAAGCTCTCTCTCTCTCTCTCACACACACACACACACTCATACACACATACACACACACACACACACACACACCTGAACTCAATGTAAGACATCCCATCAAACTGACAAGCCCTAATATATAGGATTATGTCCTCCGACAGAAGCTAGTCCCTTTCCACGTCCCCAAATCCACTCTGGCAATATCCATTACAGTTTTTGGCTTGAAATCTTTGGCGTTTTTGTTCGTCCTGCCCCTGGTAGAAAGATTTTTGTTGTTTTAAGGCATCCTAAAAGACCCGATTGATCATTAAACGTTTTTGTAGCGCTGTCTCCTGCGGCCAGTTCTGCCTTAAAACATCACGTTCTTGTGTCTCATCGTGTGTTGCAAATTTGTGGCCCAAACTGCGTCTATTTTCACAAGCATTTTAAACCAGTGATTTATTCTGCATATTGTAGCTTTGTGTACACGCGTTCAAGTTTTAAAATACAACGTTTTTTCGATGCATTTATTTCAGGAATAGGGTGTTCTTTCGATGCAATTTAGTTTAAAAAATACGTTTTTTTTTTACCCGAAGCAATTTAGTTCATAAATACAGATGTAATAGAGCAGAAGCATTATAATTTTTACCGAAGAAGTAGCAGAAGAAGAAGAAGAAGAAGAAGAAGAAGAAGAAGAAGAAGAAGAAGAAGAAGAAGAAGAAGAAGAAGATGAAGAAGAAGAAATTGAAGAAGAAGAAGAAGAACAAGAACAAGAAGAAGAAGATGAAGAAGAAGAAAAAGAAGAAGAAGAAGAAGAAGAAGAAGAAGAAGAAGAAGAAGAAGAAGAAAAAGAAGAAGAAGAAGAAGAAGTAGAAAACGAAGAAGAAGAAGAAGAAGAAGAAGAAGAAGAAGAAGAAGAAGAAGAAGAAGAAGAAGAAGAAGAAGAAGAAAAAGAAGAAGAAGAAGAAAAAAAAAGAAAGAAAGGAACAAAGAAAAAAAGAAGATAAAAGGGAAAAAAAAGAAAAGAAAAAGGTAGTAGGAAGAAAGGAATGAAAAAGAACCCACACTATTCATAAATCATTCGCAGGTATGAACTGTTGAGAAGCTTGTCTACACAACTGACATTTACCATGTCTGTCGCCACCACAATTCTCAGCCTACTAATATGTTCATTGAACCCGAAATAATGAAAGCATGACATTATAAATTAGAAATATCAAGTAGAGTATATAATCAGCACAATTGTATTGTTTCACAGCAGAGGCGACCAGCAAGCAAATGGAACATCAGGTATACAGAGATGGGTATACTGTAGAGAACGTTTTAATTCGTGCACAAAAACCATCAAATTACTGAGATTTAGGAGACTGCAAATGACAGTTGCTATTAAAAAAGAGAACATATTTTGGCTCCTTAACAGACATAACTGCATCATCATTATCATCATCATCATTATCATCATCATTAGCAACATCATCATCATCATCAGTATCATCATCATTATCATTTTCATCATTATCTACATCATCGTTGTAATCATCATCATCATCATCATCATCATCGTTAGCAACATTATCATCATCATCAGTATCATCATCATCATCATCATCATTCTCATCATTATCTACATCATCGTTGTAATCATCATCAACATCATCATCATCATCGTTATCACCATTTTTATCATCATCAACATCATTATCGTCATCATCCTCCCGTAACACTGCGTGTCGTTGTGTCAGCAGTTGATGTTGTCTGTCTGATCGGCTCGCTCCACCTCTGACGCTCAGATGCTATGGATGTCGTGGTTCCTTGTCTAAAGCTGGACCTTGTTACATTTCCGTATTCCATTGTCCGACTATTCATTGTTGTTAAAAGAGGTTCATAGTTCTCTTTATATGAAACATATTAAATTGGGTATCTCCCAGGATTTCCATGGAATGAGTATCACAACGATTTTTGGAAATCATCACAGCTGCTACGGTATTTGTGTTTTATGTGAAACTCTCGGCTGGTGGCTATGAGTTCTGCTGAGGGGGAGGGGAGAGAGAGAGAGAGAGAGAGAGAGAGAGAGAGAGAGAGAGAGAGAGAGAGAGAGAGAGAGAGAGAGAGAGAGTCATATGATTTTAAACCGCGTGCAATGAAGTCAATACTTTCACTTTTAACCTTTAAAACCAATCCGGATTTTCGAGCTTAAATGCTACACAAATGCACTCACAAAATACCACGAAACAAGAAGGTAAAAAAATTATGACATTCTAAAAAATCCGAACATCAAAAAAGCACTGGCTCTTAAATGGCCTCTTGACTCCCAAAGTGAAATATCAAACGTTGCAACGGCTTGGAAGGAACAGTTATAGGGGCCTGATGCTGGGTAGGTGGGCTTAGGTCGACCAGCCCATTGGTGATCATGATGCTGGGTAGGTGGGCTTGGGTCGATCAGCCCCATGGTAATCTTGATGCTGGGTAGGTGGGCTTGGGTCGACCAGCCCCATAGGGATCATCGTGATGCGGAAGTGGGCTTGGGTCGACCAGCCCCATGGTGATCATGATGCTGGGTAGGTGGGCTTAGGTCGACCAGCCCCATGGTGATCATGATGCTGGGTAGGTGGGCTTGGGTCGACCAGCCCCATAGGGATCATGGTGATGCGGAAGTGGGCTTGGGTCGACCAGCCCCATGGCGATCATGATGCTGGGTCAGTGGGCTTGGGTCGACCAGCCCCATGGCGATCATGATGCTGGGTCAGTGGGCTTGGGTCGACAAGCCCTATGGTAATCTTGATGGATGATAAGTGGGCTTGGGTCGACTAGCCCCATGGCGATCATGATGCTGGGTAAGTGGGCTTGGGTCGACCAGCCCCATGGTGATCATAATGCTGGGTCAGTGGGTTTGGGTCGACAAGCCCCATGGTAATCATGATGCTGGGTCAGTGGGCTTGGGTCTACCAGCCCCATAGGGATCATGGTGATGCGGAAGTGGGCTTGGGTCGACCAGCCTCATGGTGATCATGATGCTGGGTCAGTGGGCTTGGGTCGACCAGCCCCATGGTAATCATGATGCTGGGTCAGTGGGCTTGGGTCGACCAAGCCCCATGGTAATCATGATGGATGATAAGCGGCCTTGGGTCGACCAGCCCTATGGTAATCTTGATGGATGATAAGTGGGCTTGGGTCGACCAGCCCCATGGTAATCTTGATGGATGATAAGTGGGCTTGGGTCGACCAGCCCCATGGTGATCATGATGCTGGGTCAGTGGGCTTGGGTCGACCAGCCCCATGGTAATCTTGATGGATGATAAGCGGGCTTGGGTCGACCAGCCCCATGGTAATCTTGATGGATGATAAGTGGGCTTGGGTCGACCAGCCCCATGGTAATCTTGATGGATGATAAGTGGGCTTGGGTCGACCAGCCCCATGGTGATCATGATGCTGGGTCAGTGGGCTTGGGTCGACCAGCCCCATGGTGATCAGAAAAGGAAGGAATGAACTTTTTTTTCAAAGGGTTACAAAGGAACTTCGTTTTCAAGGGATTACACATAGGGCATGCAGATCCTTCTTGCATTCTGAATTTCCAAACACTCATCACAGACCACAGTTCCATGTTATCCAAACACTCATCACAGACCACAGTTCCATGTTATCCAAACACTTATCACAGACCACAGTTCCATGTTATCCAAACACTTATCACAGACCACAGTTCCATGTTATCCAAACACTTATCACAGACCACAGTTCCATGTTATCCAAACACTTATCACAGACCACAGTTCCATGTTATCCAAACACTCATCACAGACTACAGTTCCATGTTATCCAAACACTTATCACAGACCACAGTTCCATGTTATCCAAACACTCATCACAGACCACAGTTCCATGTTATCAGTCAAGCATTTTGTGTTTTTATAACATTAATTTGGAGTTCAACAACACATATTCACATATATAATCGCTGTATAGTAAATGCATGCAATCAAACATACATATACCTATAACATACACACACGCACACGCACACGCAGACACATACACACACACGCACATGCACACACACACACAGAGACACACACAGACACACACAGAGACACACAGAGACACACACAGAGACACACAGACACACACAGACACACAAAGACACAGAGACACACAGAGACACACAGACACACACAGACACACACAGACACACAGACACACACACACATACACAGAGATACAGAGACACAGAGACACACAGACAGACACACAGACAGACACACAGACAGACACACAGACAGACACACACACACAGACACACACACAGACATGCACACAGACACACACACAGACACACACACAGACACACACACAGACACACACACAGACACACACACGCAGAGACACACACAGAGACACACAGAAAAACAGACACACAGACACACATACATACATACA